GGGGGGCGCCACTCGCGCATGTCGCGCTGCACCACCGACACCTGCGAGCCCCACTCCTCGTACTGCCAGCTCTCCAGCCTGCAATGGGGGCACATGGGGCGCTATGGGGTGCTATGGGGCGCTATGGGGTGATATGGGGCGCTATGGGGAGGTATGGGTCACTATGGAGAGCTATGGGGCACTATGGGGCGCTATGGGGTCCTAGGGGTTCTATGGAGTGCTATGGGGAGCTATGAGGTGCTATGGAGTGCTATGGGGCGCTATGGGTCTCTATGGGTCCCTATGGTCGCTATGGGTCTCTATGGGTCCCCATGGGTCCCTATGGATCTCTATGCATCTCTATGGGTCTCTATGGGTCTCTATGTGTCCCTATGTGTCCCTATGGTCTCTATGGGTCCCTATGGTCCCTATGGTCGCTATGAGTCGCTATGGGTTCCTGTGGTCTCTATGTGTCCCTATGGTCGATATGGGTCTCTATGGGTCTCTATGGGTCCCTATGGGTCCCTGTGGGTCTCTATGGGTTCCTATGGGTCTCTATGGGTCCCTATGGGTCCCTATGGGTCCCTATGGGTCTCTATGGGTCTCTATGGGTCCCTATGGGTCCCTGTGGGTCTCTATGGGTCCCTATGGGTCTCTATGGGTCCCTATGGGTCCCTGTGGGTCCCTATGGATCTCTATGGGTCCCTATGGGTCTCTATGGTCCCTATGGTCGCTATGGGTCTCTATGGTCGCTATGGGTCGCTATGGTCCCTATGGGTCCCTATGGTCACTATGGGTCTCTATGGGTCCCTATGTGTCCCTATGGTCGCTATGGGTCTCTATGTGTTCCTACGGGTCGCTATGGGTCGCAGTGGGTCCCTATGGGTCCCTGTGGTCGCTATGGTCCCTATGGTTGGTATGGGTCAATATGGTCGCTATGGGTCGCTATGGTCCCTATGGTTGCTATGGGTCTCTATGGTCGCTATGGGTCGCTATGGTCGCTATGGGTCGCTATGGTCCCTATGGTCTCTATGCATCCCTATGGTCCCTATGATCCCTATGGTCTCTATGCGTCCCTATGGTCCCTATGGTCCCTATGGTCGCTATGGGTCGCTATGGGTCACTATGGGTCTCTATGGTCTCTATGGTTGCTATGGGTCTCTATGGTCGCTATGGGTCTCTATGGTCGCTATGGGTCTCTATGGGTC